GTACAATATAACCTTTCAGAATATGTGGCGCACATCAACTATAAATACTGTTAATAAGTAATGTCAATGTTTGTTGTTTATTTCATTGCTAAAAATGCATTCCTTTACTATATAAAGAAATTGAATGTTAAGATAGTTGAATAATATTTAGGACCACTAAGGATTATGTTGCTCTTCTTTAAAAAAAAAAAAAAAAAAAAAAAAAAAAGGTGGGAGTAGAATTTACATCTCAAGTATTGCAGACCTGATCAGAACACTTCAAGGAAGACATAATAAAAGACCCTAGATAAGAAATAAAGAAAAGGTGTTACAGGCATCCTTCCTCTGAAAATCTGGAGAATGAGAAGCATATGATCAAAGGCTACTAAATCATAATGGATAAATAGATTCATTCACCAAATTCTGGAATAATAGAACTAGAATATTTGAAAGAAGTCGCTTCAGATTGAATTATTGCTTATTGTTTGTTATTGTTTTTAAGAAAAATTTCCAAATAGGCTAGACATTGATTTAGAAAGCCAGTGTTTTCTATAAAATTTTATATATGATCCAAATATTATTTGGTTTCATTTTATTTGTATACATTCATAGTATGTTAGGCATTCTTCTAAAGCCTGTTTAAAAATTAGCACATTAATCCCCACAAAACTTCAGGAAGGTAGGCACTCTTACTATCGTCATTATTCAGATGGAAACTGAGGCTCAGAGAGGGTAAGTAACCTGCTTGATATCACACAGCTGGTAGGTGGAAGAGTCTAGCCCTAGGCTTTGTGTTCTTCACTACTCCATCATCTCTCATTAAATCATACATTCAATAAATGTTTAGTCAGCACCTACTGGGTGCAAGTGGCTGTGCTAAGGTAAATTAGATATTTCCTTTCTTCAAAATGTTTATAGATTAAGAAAAGGATCAGACATGGACACAAATGCCTACAGCCTAAGAACACATGAGACGGAGGAAATTCCCTGACAAAGATGCCTGGAATGTATGAAGCAACTCCATAATCTCTACAGGTAGTCTTAAGGAATTGGGAAGTGAAGGAAAAAAAGAGAAGGACTTAGGAGGAGGGACCAACAAGCACGACCATGATAATGGTGAAGCGAGCCTATAGTAGTTACCATTTAAATCTTGGGAAAACACAATTCTTCATGGGAGAAAAATGGATTCTTACAAAACGCTAAGATTTTGCCAATTTCAATGTGCTGTGGACTCAGGAAGTCTAGGTTTGTTAGAGCAAAACTTGTCTCTCTTGCCTTTTCCTCCTTTGACAGCAAAGAAATTGACCAAATATTTCAACGTTTAAAAAATACAATTCATATACCTTAAATATATACAGTAAAATACACAATTCAGGTACTACACACATATAATAAAGCTAAATTTAAAAATAAGGATTGATAATGCCAAGTGTTGCCGTGAATATATTGAGAAGTTTCTTTTAGAAAAAAACCCGGATGCACATCTACCTTCTGACCCAGCAATTCTACTCCTACGTATTTTCCCAAGAGCAATGAAAACAGATGCCTACAAAAAGACTCGTACAAGGTTGTTCATAGTACTAAAAGGTGGAATAAGCTAGGTATCCATCAACAGGAAAATGGATACCTAAACAATCTCTTATACAATGGGAGATAACTCAGCAACCAAAAGAAAATGACTAAAAAACAAAACAACATGGATGAACAGCAGAGACATTATGCTGAATGAAAATAGCCAGGCACAAAAGACTGCATGCTGTATGATTCCTTTTATATGCCGCTCTAGCCTTGGAAAAACAATTACATTGTGGCATCAAATCAGGACAATGGTTGGCTCTGAGATGTGCAGTTTAGGGACTTAGAAGAAACATGAAGAAATTTCCTGTATTATGGCAATGTTCTATATTTTGACAAGAGTTTAGGTGACTCAGACACAAGCATTTGTCAAAACTCACTGACTGGTAACTAAAGACTTCAAAATTCCATTTCACATAAATTTTACCCCCAAAGCAAGAAAAAGAAAGTGAAAAACATTGAACTCTTTTAGTTAAAGATATGCATGAAAGAGGATTTAGGTGCAAAGCATACTTGTGTCTACTTACTTTGAAATGCATCAAAAAATAAGATGGATTGATGGATGGGTAAATAGGTATGTGATAAAGCAAAGATACTAAAATGCTAATTATAGAATCTAGCTGATAGGTGTATTGGTAGTATAAACCGTACAATTTTTTAGCTTTTCTGCATGTTCAAAATTTTTCATAATAAAATGTTGAAAACATACAAATCATATATATATATCTATATATATCTCAGATCTATCTATCTATCTATCTATCTATCTATCTATCTACCTACCTACTTACCTACCTACCTAAAGGGTTTTGAAGATTGAATTGCCAACAAGTTAAAGGTACTTTGCAGTGAGGAAAGCTTAGGTCCTTATTTTTCAAACTAGCCTTCTTTATTGAAGCACAAGAGAAAATAACCAGAGAGGTGACATCACTGTACATCATAGCTGAAGAAGCCCATTTTTATGGTACTAGACATTTGTCCTGTATGTGTTATAAAAATAATTTGACTATAGACGTCAAATGGGTTTTGAATAAAAAAGAAAACTGGAATAGATAAACAAAAGATAGTGGAATATAAGTGTAGTCTCTGGAGGCGGAATTTATTGAAAGATATATTTTGCTTGCTGTATAGAAAATTTGGAGAAGCACATAAGTGCACAGAGAAGGAGGAAGAAACCATTAATAATCCCACTACCAAAAGAAAAAAAAAATCACTGTAATAATCGTGACTTAATAGTTTGAAAAAATTATTTCCAATCATTTCTCTTTCTGTATTTTTAACAGAGTTAAAATGGTAAATACCATACTAAAGTATAGTATAAATATGTTTCATGAGAATAAAACTTTTTTATTAATAATCTTAAGGAAGGCCAGGAGCAGTGGCTCATACCTGTAATCCCAGCACTTTGGGAGGTTGAGGAAGGTGGATCACAAGGTCAGGAGATCGAGGCCATCCTGGCTAACATGGTGAAACCCCATCTCTACTAAAAATAGAAGAAATTAGCCGGGCATGGTGGCACGTGCCTGTAGTCACAGCTACTCGGGATGCTGAGGCAGGAGAATCACTTGAACCCGGGGGGCAGAGGCTGAAGAGAGCCGAGATCGTGCCACTGCACTCCAGCCTGGGCGACAGAGTGAGACTCTGTCTTAATAATAATAATAATAATAATAATCTTAAGGACTACATGATGTTATTTTTAATGAGTATGTCACATTTTACCATGGAAACATGGGCATATAGTTTTGTTGTTTGTTTTTCATTTTATTTTGCTATAAAAAGTAATATTGAAAAGAAACATCCTTGGGCAAAAAATTATTTACATTCCTATTATTTTTAGGACAAAGAACTTCTGGAAATGTAATTTTAACAGAGTGTTTAGTTGGCCTGTAAGTTAAGAAGAGTCTTCTTGTACTCTTAACAAGAGTACTCTTATTGCTACACACAGCTCTATGACATTACCAATAGGTTTAAACGCCATTCCATGGTTTGTCAGTATTCCTCCAGCTCATGAAAACAACTCTGTCTACACTTCGATTCATGCAGACAGACTTATGCACTGGGTAGGGGGAGGAAGGGGAGGCAGGAGATGATGAACTAGATTTGAAAGTGTCCCTGTCTTTCCCAGCACGGAGAGAATGAAATATTTTCTTAAATGAGGCAGAAGCCTAGCACTGAGGAAAAGAAGGGAAGAGTTGCTCTTTTTCACAGTGTGAGGCTGTGCTTGCATCTCTCCTAGACTGAGGCCTGATGGCCCCTGGGTGGCCTCTGTATTATAAAAAGGAGGCCCTCTTTGAAGGTAGTGGGCACAAGAGGACAAGGTGTTTTTTATACATAGCTGAAAATGGCATGAGCTGAAGAGAGACACTCAGAAATGGGGATTCATAGCAAAAGAATTTAATTAAGCTCAATGTATCCTGCAAGCCAGAAGACCTGGTGTAAGGTGAGAAAATATTTGTCTCTTTCTCATTCTCTGTCTCAGCAGATGACTCAGATCTAGCAGTTTGCTGGAGGTGGCAGTTACCAGTCAAAAAGAGCTGACTGATAAACATTCAGGAATTTTGCAATCTGGTTTGGTAACTTGAAATTGGTCATGAAGCAGTATTTACAGCATGGAAACCAGCAAATACTACAAGTCACACCTTTCCAGACCCTTCCCATCCCCAGAGATCTGGTGTATCTGTTCACCACACCTCAAATCCAAAGCTCCTTTTCTGATTTCTCTCCCAAATTCAAGACCCATTATTGACACTACATTCAGGACATCCCTATTTGTCTCAAATTCATTAGAGGACTTATTATTCTCTCCCAGATATGATCTTACTAGTGTGCTCTGTATTTTTGTTAACAATTTATCATCTTCCCAAACAGCAGCAACCAAAACTTGACAGCCATATTTGACACTTTACTAATAAACAAGAAGAAAGAAAAAAAGGAGGAGAATTAGTCAATAAATTAATTTCTTATGTCAGCCCTTGTGACAAGCCTTTTACATACATTCGTATAACATCTCTTAAAGAAGGTATTATTCTAGTTCTGCAAAGGGAAAACAAGTTCAGGGAGGTTATGTTACTTACCAAACTTTGACAGTTAATAAGTTTCAGAACTATGATTTGAGCCTTCTGAGTATAACCCAATATGTAAACTAATATGCCATATTTCTAATCAATTCATTGCAAAATCTGCCCTCCAGAACTTTTTCATTGTTTTAAGGAGGTATTATTTGCATACAATGAAATGCACAAATCTTAAATGTACATTCCCCCAGTGTTGATGAAGATAAACTGTTGTAGAACTCACACTCCTATCTATATATATAACATTTCCACTGCCCAAGCACATTTCCTCCTTGTTTGTTCCAGTCAATCCTCCTTTGTTACAGTCAGCATAACACTGCCCTAACAAAATATTACAAATTGAGTGACTTACAAACAACATTTATTACTCACAACTTTGGAGGGTAGAAAGTACAAGATCAAGGCACTAGCAGATTCAACGTCTGGTGAGGGCCTGTTTTCTGATTTATAGATAGTGCTTTCTGGCTGTTTTCTCACCTGGTGGAAAGGGCAAGACAGATTTCTGGAGTCTTTTAATTGGGATTAAGGGCAGTAAATCCCAATTATGAGGGCCCTGTCCTGCTGACCTAATCACCTCCGAAAGTCCCCACCTCCTAAAGTCATCACATTGGTAAGTAGATTCAACATATGAATTTGAGGGAGACACAAACATTCAGATCACAAAACTACTGCTTTATTTCATCACAGGTGAGTTTTACCTATTCTGGACCTTCATATAAATGAAATCATATAGCTTTTGTGGAAAACTTCTTTAGTTCAGCATTTTGAGAATAATTTATATTATTTATGTATATCAGTAATTTGTATATTTTTATTGCCAAGTAATACTCTATTATATGAATAAACCAAAGTTTGTTTATCTACTATTTTAATGATGGACACTGGAGTGACTGGCTATTACGAATAAGGATGCTTTAAACATTCTCATACAAATCTTTTTGTTGACATATGTCTTCATGTCTTTTTAGTAAAACCTAAAAGCATAAGAGCTGAGTCGTAGGTCAGGTGTATGTTTATATGAGAAATTGCCAGAGTAATTCCTAAGTCATTTTTGTTATTTTATACTCTCATTATCAGTGTATGGTGATTCCACTTGTTTCACATCCTCAACAACACTTAGTATTGTCAGTCTTTTAGTTTTAGCCATTCTAGTCACTGTGTAGTAATAACTCATTGGTTTTAATTCACATCTCTCTAATGATTTATTATGCAGTCCTAGACATCAAAGAAAACACGGGCATATATCTTAGTGACTTAAGAATAACAAAAAATTCCTTTCACAAGACACAGAAAGCACTCACTATTAAAGGAAAAGCATAAAGATATAGTAGACTTCATAGAAATTAAAATCGGAATAAAATAGGTTTAAAAGCCACATGTATGTACATACAATATATACATGCAAAGGACTTGTATCTAGACTATGTAACAATTTCTATAATGCAATTTTTAAAAAATCTAGTGGAAAATTATGGGTAAGAGACTTGAACAGGCACTTCACAAAGGAATATATATACACACATATATATGTACATATATATATGTGTGTGTGTGTATATATATATATAAAGGCCCAAGAGCACGTAAGAAAATGCCTCATAGCATTTCATCATTACCTTTTATAGGAGTCATCATTTTTTATTTTTGTACCACAGTTTGTGAAAGTATAACTCCCAACCCAAACTATATAAACCTGAAAGTACAATGAACATTTAAGGCACCTTTGTCCTACCTCCACGTTATATATACATGTGGAGGAGTGGAAAACTCAACAAATATTTTTAAATCATTGAGCAAATGAATTAACACTGTATATCTTAAGACATTTTAACAGACATTAATATTGCAAACAAATGAAGCAGTAATAAGGCAGTGACTAGAGAGGAAAAAGAAAACAGATAACAAGAGTAATAAGCCTAAGAAGTGGGGGAGTGGGGGGAGTATTTCTCACAGACGAAGTGAATTTAAAACGCTAGTGTAAAATAAAAGAGGAAATAGGGTTAGTAGAATAAAACAACAAAGATAATGTGAAGCAAGCTTTCCCAAAATAAGACACCTACTCTTTTGCATGGGCAACCCATCTCTGTGTGGGTAATTTTGCATTAACAAAAGCCCAGGGGAAGCTATCAGACCAAAACAGGAAGCCGTGCATGTGTGCTCAGGTGGAAGTTGCCAAGACATGCCCCTTGTGTACTCTGCTGTGCATTCAGCTTGCCAGAAAACTCAGATTCCTTGTCAGAAGTTAGACCCAGAAAATGCAGATAGCATCATTACTGCATCCACAGTAGTGTTTTCAGATTCTGGTGACATCATCTAGGAATTCTCAGCACATCATAATTTTAACTCCTATGGGGCATCCTCTTTCTGAGATAAAATTTGTCCACTGAGCCATTTGTGAATGACTTATATGAAACCCATTCATCCCCATGATTCACAGACTACTGTTCAGTATTTATAGTAACTCTGTAAAGAATTTTCTAGAACTATAGGCTTACTCAAAACATCTTTATAATTATTTCAAAATAATAATGCACACTGTTTCAGATGATGATGACCTCAAGACTCAGTTCTTTTCAGGCTAAATCTCTGAAAATATTTAAATGATCTTATTTCTATCTCAAATTTCAAACTGATTTGTATGAATCATTTAATTTCCAAGTGAAAGACTTTTTTTCTCTCCAGATCAGATACTAAAATATCAGAACTTTGAAATGTGGAAATTCTGACCAATAATTCTGATCATTATTTTTTATTTTTGGGATTCTCAGGAGGAAAACAAAAACTAACCTTATTGAATAAGTTACATTTCATGATTAGGGCAGTGGATTAGAGGTAAACCCTGGGTGAGGTATATATGGGTTCTGAGAATAGAAGGGAAAATAGAAGTTTTAAAAAAGAGAGAAAAGTGAAAAAATTTAGAGAACCCAAAAAATGAAATTCCAGAGGGATATCTTATACTTAACTGTAAAATATGTGTGCGTGTGTGTGTGTGTGTGTGTGTGTGTGTGTTTGTGAGGGTGGGTTGGGAGTGTATGGGAGTCAGGAAATGAAAAACTTAAGTGAAAGTTATAGTTTTGCTGTGAAAACCTTCAAGGCTGGATTTTTCTATCATGAAGTGAACATATAAAGCTATTTTATAAAGCAAAGGAGATGGAGACAGTTAACTTATAAATAGATCTAATTCATACACTCATTCATTCATAATTTAAACCCTGCAATAGGAAATATAGAATGTTCTAAACTTAATCTCATCCCCTTCTTCAATGCATTATGAAGCTCAAGACATAGTTTTGAAACAAATTAAAGATACTATCTTTATGTAAAAGATAAAATTTGTTATTCTAAGATATAGTAGGTGGGTTTAGCCAATGTGAATCTTGTGTCTTAGAAAAGTCCTATAAATGAATCCAACCCAACCACAGAATGCCCATAACTACATGCACACTGAATTTGTGTCTGACCACCTGGACTTCAGCCCAAACTGTCATGCTCTCCTTAGCTTCCGGGTTCCACATCTGAGCTCCTGACATTGCTCTAAGTTCTTCTGAGTTTGGTGCCCTTGTCTCAGCCCTTCATTCCCACTATGCTCTCAAGATTTCAGTATTCAGTCTCTCACACCAGATCTCCAGGTGAGAGTCACCCACATAGCAACTTGACCCAGGTTGGTGAAACCAATCAAACATTTGCTTACTCCCATTAAGACTCCCTATAGGGAAAGGGTTACATTCAGTAATTCTATTTGCCATCTTTGTTGCAAGCGTTCTCTTCTTTTTCTAAAAAATATTCCTAGAAACTAAATCAAATGCACGAGATGGCTTGGCAGTTATCAAGAGAAGTCATTGAAATAACTCCTGCAAAGTCATAGACGGTTGAGGAAGCAGAAACTAAGGACTGGCCATTTGCTTTTTTTAAACACCAAGCTGAACAAATTTTCTAGCTGTTTCTAAGAACTACAAATTAATTCATTCCCTTATACCTTTATAAAGTTGGGAGATATGAAACAGTTGACACCAACTTAAAAGAATTAACATGTCTGGGAAGGTTTGAAATGACATTTTGGATTTCAGAGTGAATATGCATGCAGACACACAAATGAGCTGAGTATAACATCAGGGTGTTAATATATTAAAGATTCATAAAACAATAGCAAACTATACAAAAATATTGCTTTCCTTGCACACACTGCTCAAAGAAAATTTCCCATTTTACTTTTAACATTTGGATCCAACTGTTTTTATAGCCAGATCTTTGGTGTTAAAATGGAGGATAAACATATTTATCTCTAAGCAAAACATACTGAGATAATAAGAACTCCTTTAAAAAAATGACTACGCCTGAGATGCCACCTCAGAAGTATTCTCCAATTGAAGTCAACCATCTAAAACACACACACAACATACACACAGATGTGTGTATGCCATATCTGAAGCCAGAGACCTAGATAAACATAAGGAAAGGAGAAGCTGCCAATACCAAATGGCAGAGTGCTCTTCAACCTGAGGGATGGACATACTACCTCAAACCACTCTTGAAGCCTCACTTATTTCTCATGTTTTCTCAAAGAATAGGTAAAAAGAGAAAAAGTGCTGTGCCCAGGATTGGTAGAAAACAAAAGTAAATGGTTCAAAATTCTAGAATGACATCAAGGTAAAGGCAAATTGATTACAGTTATCATTTTCTTTGTCCTTTCCAATTTATGGTAAATGGACTCTGATAATACATGCTTGGGGTTCTTCTGCTCGCCTTGACTGCCCTCTCAGGGTAATGATGGCTTAGATTTTCCAATAAAAAATCGGATATAGAATATACATACATCCTATAAAAGATGTATGTACATCATTTTTCAGATGTTTTATAATTTTTAAATGCTCAAAGAGGGTCTCTTATTTAAAGGAACCCCCAAAATTATACATGTCTAAGTTCTAATTTTGGCATTTGAGACTATAATGTGCATCATATCAGAATAGTATTCCATTTCAGAATCAGTGAATGGGTTTGCTACACCAGAACGTCAGACTTCAGCATGCTATTTTTGTATTTTGTTTTACATCACAATTCAGATCGTTTTTGTGACTACCTATCCCTTTCTAATTTGAATTTTGCTGGATGGTTTAAAGCTTTTAAGTTCTTTCTATACATTCTTTAAGATGCTTAGTTAGCATCTTACATTTTCCCCCCAGGGTTTTATTTGTGCATAATTCTTTAGCACCCCAGGCAACAGGCTCTGAAACAGTTGTTGAGCTTTCTGTGGCCCCCAAACCATTCTAAGGAAAATGGGCAACTTGGGAGCATCCTGAAGGACTTGGTGCCTGGGGTAACGTGTACTGTTTGTTTAGTGAATTAGCACCTCAGAAAAAGATCGTAAAGAAGGTGTTCCTAATGGCATGGAGTGCAAAAATAGGAAGCTGATTCAATCTGTTTCAGCACTATTTGGTGCTCCGTCAGCACTATCCAAATTTTAGACTCTGGTTTAAAAT